TGCCCCTTCCCAAGAGGGTTTCCCAGCTGGCAGTGATGTCAGTTACAGAGCAGGGCCATGCTGCCCGTCTCGGGATTCCTCTCCTTTCCCTCATTTCCCACTTGCTGCAGCGTAGCCGTAAAATCAGACAGAACCGTCAACAGTGCTTCCAAGAAATGAATGCAACCAGCCAAAACTGGGCTGCCAAACAAAATCCTTTCTGCTTCCTTCGCAGAAAATTCACGGGAGCTGCCTGCTCTGCCCCTCCTCAGATGAGCTCCTGTAAATGGACATATTAGTAGATCCAGCCAAGCGGCGTGTGGGTGCCCTTATGGAGCAGAAGGGCACGTTCATACAGCCAAAGGCAGAAATGCTGTGTGATCTTCTCCTGAATAGAATCTCTCAGTCTCTGAGCTGCACAGCAGAGGATCCAAGTTGTGTCCTGGTTCTCATGGCTTGGTCCCCAGGGATGGCAAAGGGAACTCTTCCTGGGCAGTGGATCCATGCAGGATCCGTTAAGAAGGCAGGATCCCAGCCAATGACAGCAACAACATTTGTGCTCCCTTTTCTTACTCCCCACTCTAGCCAGGAGCTTACTTTGACCCTCATGGTTTGCTTCAGAGCCCTGGACGTCAGATGTTTTTCCCTGAAGCCTCCAGGCTTGATTCTGGCTTGAAACCCCTTCTGCTAGAAGACATCCCTCCACCATCCACCCCCTAAGCGCCCCCCAGTTACAAGCAGCTTAGCCCAACCTCAGGAGCTGTCGGTGAGCAGTGACATGCTGGCTGCTAGCCTGCCCCCCAAATATCTTTATTTCACAAATCAGGCAGGTTAATTTAAGCCACCACAGTCTGCAATAGTCTGACAGCTCCCTAGGGGTCCTTATAAAGCTAAGATTTACACAATCATCAGACTTGCAATATATTGTAATCCTCTGTTGACCTTTTAAACAGAGTGGTCTGGCCAAGACGTGTCTGGATTTAGTCCTGTGCTCAAAGATAGAAGTGTGGCCAAAAAAAAGTGAATGCTGGACAAGCAAAGGGGTTCCCAAGAATATTTTACTGAAATAATTTCAATCCAGATGATATGTGAAGGATGGTTCTTTTTAAGAGGGTACCCTTCCCTTCATTCAAGAAGTAAAAGCTCACAATGAATGTGCTCTGACATCTTGTAAGTCCTTCACCAAAGGAAAAAGCAGAAGCAGTAATTTTGTACGTTAATTGCATAATAAAAGGTACCTGAGTTTAGACTTGTATAGTCAGTTCTGCCACACCCACAAGCGTGTTTTATTAAAACACATCAGCCTTGACTACAAGGACTCACTAGCACAGTAAAATAAAAACCCCACAATTCTCTTTTTATGTCTTGTTGGAACACTTCAAGTCCTTGTTGGAACATTTCAAATCCTTGTTTCTGTTCTGGGTGCATAATTTTCCATAATGTTCCTGATGAGCATCAGCGGGTCTGCAGAGGCACAAACTGAGGACTGATCGGTTCAGGGAGGAAACCCAAGGAGGCTGAGGAGCCCTGAAGGACAGAAAATGGGTGCCTGACATAGAACCTTGTTGTGGAGTGATGAGCATCACCTCTTAGCAGCAGCCAGAGGTCTGGATAAAAATAAAGCTGCTCTATTTGAATTGAGCAGAGCAGGGAGCTGCTTGAGGCTTCCCAGACTGGCCACTGTGGCTGCAGAAGGGTCCCACTGGGCAGCACGGAGAGGACACCAAAGGACTTGCAGGGGACAGAGAAACAAAGCAGAGTGGTCTCCAATTTTAAATATCCAGACAACTCACCAAGGTAACCTCCCAGCTAGGCCTCAGGTGAAGCAATGGCAATGGTGGTGAAAGCATTCCATGTTCCACCTGACAAATCCCACCAGTGGTACATGATGTGCTGAAGGCCCAGGAGGAGACTATTTTTTTTTCCCTGCTCCTGTCACAAGCTGTAGGTCAAGGTCATAATGCACAGGTGAATCCTACACATAACAAAGCTGGTATCTGTTGACTCCCATGGCTTATGTTTTGGAACATAAGCCATAACATTTGTCTCCCTGGCTACAGAGAGCTGAATGACAACTTGGATTAGCACCACACAGCCTTGCCCTGAGGACTTGTCATTGTTGATGAGTAAACCACCACCTCTGCTGCTCAGGTCCTCTGCTCTGGCATCTCTCCAGGGCAGAATGTAGGATATTTTCTAAGCATCAGGTGTGAAAAAGACCCACTTCCCTTTCTGGTCCTATACAGGGCAGGCCCTCAGCTCACCCCTCTGGAGTAAGAAAGCCAGCTATTTAAAACACGGTCACCCAAACTCCCCCAGTGCAGGCACAGGCTGCTGCCCTAGTTAGGAGCTCCCCAGTGCAGGGCAGATTAGATCACAGTAACACAATACGGGACACAGGAACGATCAGCATGAACGCTGTGACTTTGACCTCAGCGATGGGAAGAGCAGCATTTCAATGACACCAGTCCTACACCCTGATCCCTGGCATGCTCTGATGCCTCTTGTTTTTTTTAAGATGCCCTTTGGCTTTTGTTCTCTGCTTCATTTGCTTTTGGTGCAGGAGTTTGAGACCTGGCCCCAAGTGGTATTTTTAGAAAGGTGAACATTGATCATTGATTTTGTTTGGTTTTTTTTTCCTAGCAAAGGTCAGCTGCCAGGGAAGAACAGCACAATCCTACCCTGCTTGGGACCTGGTCTGGAGGAACATAGAGTGGGGCAAAAGGAGCACTAGCTCATCTCATCTCTCCTGGAGTACCAAAAAAAAAAAAGTAAGATGGCACAGGACCACATTATTCATACTCGGGAATCCCCAGTATTGCCAGGATAACAGATTCAACAATCACCTCATTCAAAGCAATGCCGCCAAAGAGATTCCTGGTGACATTGCCACCCCTCTGGCCAGTGAGTAATTACACAGGCCAGGAAACTCATCCACACCCCACCTCTGTGCCCACAAAAACCTAAGGGCCTTCCAGTCTCAGCCTTCAGAGAAGAATGAGGATTGGTGTTTTATGAGGATTGGTGTTTTATGAGGATTGGTGTTTTAACACATTGAGCCAGACTTAGAGCTGTGCAGTAAAAAAAAAAAAAAAAAAAGCCAACACCTCCAAAACAAAACTCCAAGAAGCAGTAGATAAGCTGCAATAGGGAGACTTCAACTAGTTAAGAAAATACCCTACAATTCTCAAAGGTGGTCAAATGTTGACAGTGCAATCTCTATCCAGGGAGATACTCAAAGCTTTCCTCAACAAGGAACTGAGCAACCAGGTCTAACTTCAAAGCTTGCCTAGTTTTAGTGAGGTTGGACCAGAGACCATCAACTGCCCATTCTGATCTAAACTGTGTTACTGGACTAGGGCAGGACTTGGGATTTTTCCAGACAGGAGAAGACATTAGGTAACAGGAAGGAGATCCAAGATGCCCTAGGCAAGAGCATGCTTGGCAAATAGCTTGGTTTGGTATTGTGTTTTAGCCTCAGAAGAGAGAGACACTGCCAAAGCACTCTACAGAGGTTCTTCATCCTACTGGAGATAGGAAGATATATAGAAAGCAAATCCATCATGTTGTGCTTCTAGGGAGGGTAAATGATGCAGGATTCTGCAGGCACAAACTACACCCTGGTGCTTGCCAGGAAGCTGATGAAGAACAGTTCATTAGATCTTCTCTGGGTCAGAGTAAAACAAACACAGACTAAGTCTGAAACCACTTTATTGAAAAATTTCATACAAGAACAGTCAGTGGCAACAACAATTCAAGTGTGATCCAGCAACACCACAGACAAGCTCCTTATACATGTCAACTTGAGGCCAATTCATTTACAAACAGCCACTGTCTCCACATACTCAGCTTTCTGGAGATGTGCAGCATCCTGTCATGTCAGGGAGTTTCAGTGCAGCACAGGGAGCAGAGTCTGGTTTTGCATCAAGTAAGATTAGCTATGACTCTGATTTTTCCTGTGAAAGGTATAAGAGGCCTGTAGGTCTGTTGAGATTTCTGTTTCCAACGTAAAGGCATCATTCCCACCCCCCCCAGCTCATTCAAAACACTGACACTTGTAACAAAACACTGAAAGCTCGTAACAAAATATTTTGCCAATAAAAATTTTAGGAAAATCAGTATAAAAATTTGCTATATACAGCATAAAACTATCAAAGAGTGACTGTGACATTTCCCCTTTACACAAATAGTATTCTTTACAAAAAGAAATCATTAGAAATTCACACAATATACAATATATTACATCTTTCTGAAGTACTTTGTGCAGCAGAAGCCCCATACAGTACCTGGGCGGTTACAAATGCTCTTTAGTTCTGCTGTCTCCACAGCAGCTGCCAGTAATTTGGACATCACAGTTTTAGGATTTAGAAAGTAGAGAGCTACAAGATAGCAAACGAAGTGTATGTAAATCAGTACCATCCCTTCCCAAGGAAGGAAAAAAAATTAACAGGAATCTCTTGATTTAAAATATATTACTTGTTGCTGGTGTCAGTGAGAATACAGTTTTGACTGCTTCTGTGTCAGTTTTCATTTGCAGAGTACCACTTCATGTGCCAGAGAGGTACCTGCAGCATCTTTCAGTGATTTCTGGTGTAAAAAGAACACACAGCTGAGCCACAGGAGCAACTAAAACCACATTGGCTTACTTGGTTTCATGAAAAAACACTGAAAGACACTACCAGACACAGGGCTGTCAGCCTGCTGTCTGGAAAGAACTGATTGTTCCCCAATTCAGTTTTTGGTGATCTGGAAGGTGTTGCAGAGAAGAGCAATCAATATCTTGCCCTCCACTTTTCCAGGCACAAGATTCAAAGCCCCTGCAGCCTTCACACACAGCAATGCAGGAAAAGAGCTGAATCCCCAAGGACTGAGGGTACTGCTGTGTGTGAAACCCACTCTCTACTTGGTGACTTAATCTTCCCAAACAACTCAGCAAGAACTTAGTAACTCTCTGCATAACCTTGGAGAATACCAGGAGTGGGCTTTACATTTGAGGATGTACACAAATGTACACATCAGATGACTTGCTTCGCTTCGAAAACAGCAGTAACCCATTCAGACACAGTTAGCACAGGGATATTTTTCCCCCCCCCCCCCCCCATTAGGGGGGATTTTTGTTTGCTTTCTTTAACAGCGAGCTGGCAACAGCCAGAGCCCCTCCCTGTACAAAGCGTACAAAGTTATCTCCAGCTAGTGGCCCTAGAGCATAAAGCCCTTTCTCCTGAGTGCATTCATAGGTGAATGGGTCAACATCTATGGGATTCCTCTTTGGATTGACTGGTTGGTCACTGTCCATTGCCAAGTCAACGCCATTATTTGGCAGAAAGGAGAGGTTGGGGTTTGAGCCAGTGAGAACAAGAGCCATGGAAATTTTATAAACTTTCTGGTAGCCATTCTTGTCTTGAAAGATACATTTCTTGTCCTTGCCAAAGGATAGCACATGATGCTCAGGAAGGCTGATGTAACATTCATAGGGCCCAGCACAAGCAGCTGACTGTTCTTTCATCATCTGATGGACTTTGTGGTATTCAGGGTACATCATTTTGGGAAGCTGGTTAAAAATAAGACCCGGATCACTGACTCGCCTCCGAAAAACATGGATTACTGGAATATTGCAATGGTGAGCAAGGAGAATTGCATCAGCAGCTGTGAGACCAGCACCTACAATCAAGACTGGATCTGACATGATGCCAATGCTGTTGTTCTTCACTGCTTCCTCTAGGGCAGAGAGCTGGTGATGGACATAGGAAAGGTTCTCTCCCTTGACCCCAAGCCAAGTAGGACTATCGTATGTTCCTGTAGCTAAGACCACATTCTCTGCATAGATGGAGAAGGGTTCTTTATCACCTTTCATATTTTTGAAAAATCCATCCACCTGAAAGACCTCCATACTTTCTTCATTGAGGTTCCAAAGTGGGTCACTATTCTCCTCCAGATCTTTCTCCATGTGGTTGGAGATGCTCTCTGCACTCACTTTCCTCACAGAGGTCACAACAGTACCACATCTGAAATTCTTCTGCAGTCCTTTCTTCATCACATAGTGTTGGTAATATTGAGCAATGTCTTCTGCTGTGGCTCTATTGTTTCTGAGGCCTCTGTAATACAGTACAAACAAAGGTCAAGCAGCAGTTAAGCAGACTGGAATTTCTCCCCTCTTCCACTGAATGTATCCTCGAGCCATCTATCCTGGCATTACCAGAGAAGACTTACCTAGTTTCACTGACTTCAGCAAAGTTATTCCTGGTATAGAGAGCTAACATGCAGGTCTATAAGCTGTTGGACAGGGGCAGCTTTCTCTAGCACGAATCCCATCCCTAAGAACATGGTTGCTCATTTATGCCTTCCTCTCACATCTAGCTTCTATTCCATTTTTAACTCCTGGACTTTTAAAGATTAAGTATGACACATCTCAAGAGGAGAAGCACTTCAGAGACTGCACAGTAGCTGAGTTGATTACGCTCGTCAGGGACAGCAGCAGTAGACACAAGTCAGATGACCATGCCTTTTCCAAGGTTTATTCAGAATTCATGGTCACTGTGATCCATCTCCCCAGCAGGTGTTGAGAAGGACATATTCTAAGCAGCACTGCAACTTCAACTGAATCCATTCTGCATTCAGTGACTTTTGCTGGAGGGTGGAAGTGTTTCCCTTTCTCTCACTAGAATCATCCATAACAGATGGGTAGCTATATTCAAGAAGCCCACTCCACTCCAGTTTCCCAAATAACCTCTGGATGTTTGCAAATAATCACATCATAGATATCTTACCTTCTCTTTTGCTTTAGCCAGTCCTTGAACGGGAGATCTGGGAGTCCCATCCATTCCCCTCTGCTCAGGGTAACCATAGAGCCCTCAATAGACTGGAACAAGAAACACATTTGACTTTATGTTATTTAATGCAAGAACTGAAATGCAATTTTGTCATATTTCAATATAGCACTGATCATTAAATCAGTGATTTCCTCTGATCCGCTGTCATGGATGAAACCATCCATGTTGTCCACACAGAAAATAGACTGGAAATATAAATGCCACTAGTGATTTTTTTTTCCCTTTTAAACTTTTGCTTGTCTATCTACATAAAATCAAACATGGCTGACTGGCACATCAGAGGAGCTCTTGCATCTCCAGACAACATCTTTGGCTATCTTACAACATGTGTAAGCAGTTAGGTGTCAGTTCACATACATGCCAGGCACCTCCAGGAGAGTTTCTGCCAAGGACCAGGTGAGGGATGGCTCTGTCAGTCTCATACCACCAAGTAAGGACAGATTCTGCTGTTCCACCAAAGTCTGCGTCTGGACGCTGGAGAGTATCAAACAGAAGAGCCACAGGGCTGTGGGATCGTCCCTCCAAGCCTTCAGACAGATACTCCAAATCCTAAAGAGAGGCAGATCAGATGCTCAAAATGTATGTCCCATCAGGCAGCAGAAGGTTTCTTACTCCAGTATTTCCAATCAGTGGTTTTGGTGTTCTGTGAAGATCATTTACTGGCACACAGACTCTGTTATTGCCCAAGGACTACCTCAAGGATCTTAGCAGCAATGCTGACATTTCATACAAGGGAGATCTGGACAACTACAAGTACTTTGCTTAAGGCTCATTCTCTGTACTTTGAAAATTCAAGTGAGGTTGTCACTTGTAATGTACCCCTAGGATGCTTCACTATGAAGTTACAGTGTTTCTCCCTACACAAACCTGGTCCAAAATGGAGACATCTTTTGCCTCTTCCAGTTTCCTCTGAAGAATGGGATGAGGATGAAGAGAGTCTCTTTTGAAGTAAGGGACATAGCCTGACAGCAAATATGAGAGACAGATTCCTGAAGGTCCATTTCCTAAAAAGACACAATGGGGAAGAATTTATATGCAGACAGAGCAGCTCTTTGAGAAGTGTTTCTAATATCCAGAACAATTCAAAGGATAAGACACTGCTGCAGATACAGGGGACTTCACCCATTAGACCACTGATCTAATGGATGAAGTTGGGGAAGTAATTTTACCCTCTTATGTCCCCTTCTCCTCACTTCCATCTATTTGCATTGCAAGGTCTTTGGAATTCGCTGAAAAGACATTGAGTTAAACAAGCCAGAGGTTAACATCACCTGAAGCTTGAAGACTCTAGCATGCTGATGATTTGAGTTATTGCTCATTAACCTCTTAAAGGTTTAGAAACTGGTCATACACTGACTGGAGGTCTCAGGTCTCCTAGATGCACATTTCTCACCAGTGCAGAGTAGTTCATTGTGGACAGGACACAGAGCAAGTCCAGAAAAGAGAGTGACTGTTAAAGTGAAGGGGAATCAGCTCTGCTCAGTAAAAAAATCTCATCTAATAAGGGATATTCAGCAATAGCAGTTTTGACTAACAGGTCTTGAGGACACTTTCAAAGCTGGACCAGCCCTACCATGGTACCACGGGCAGTGTGTTAAGGAAAAAAAGTCTTGCTGCCATGCTGAGACACCCCCATGTAATACAGCACTTTAAAAAGACTGCTGGATGGCTGAACTCCTCCTGCTGACAACCCAACAGCCAGTGGAAAAACCTGATATATGTGACTCCAAAGCCCAGTGAGAGTAGCCTGTGGAAAGTTTTCACGTGGCTGTTCTCCAGTACGTTTAATATTTTTACAGTGTCTGCATAACTAGGTGTCAGCCTCTCTGGCTGCTCAGGCTTTGCTCCTCACTACTGTGTGACTAACCACCATGACATAATGCAGTGACGATACAGGGGAGGAGAGCTGAAGTGACATAGCAGCCTGCAGCAGGCTGTGTTGACACAGTGCCTGTGCTGTGTGCATGAGGAACTTGAGCAAAGGCTGCTTCTTGGGGACTGGAGATAGAGGGAGGCTCAGGCTGTAAAGCTAACAGCAAGCTGAGCTATGTGAAGGGTACAAGCCACAGCTGGGGCCAAAGTCTGCTGTACTGAGCAAGAACCAGCAGCTGCAGGTCAGTGTTTGGAATATTCCACTTGCAGGAAAGTTATCTAAAACCAACAGCAACAGAACTTAAAAGCAAACTAAACTGTGGCTATAGTAAAATGTAACACCTTTCAGCTTACTCCTTTGCTTTAGGAAGTACAAGGAGGTACCAAAGCCAAGCTTAATCTTTGGAGTGCACAACACTCAGCAACACACAGAGAGGACTACTTCTGCACAGAGGACTTACTCTGAACCATACCCAAGTTTGATATGGATTGTCACAAGCACAGCTGTCTCTGGGGCTCAAAATATTCTAGAAAGCAACTGCTTTCAGGAGGCTGCCAGCACAGCAGAGGGAGTCCACAGCCTTCTTGGAGCAGGGCCTGGGGAAGTAGCTGGAAGCTTTGTGCAATGTCCAGCTGCAGTGAAACAGCTGAGCTGCTTCAGTCCAACAGCCTCCACAGAGTGCAGGTCTTCACATTGGTGCTTCTGAGGCTTTGGTGACATAGCTATATTGGGTCCCTGTATAGATGCCTTAGGGATGTACCAAAATATCCTCCCCCCACCTAAAGGCTTGTACAACTGGGCAGTACAAAATCACTCTCTGACCAGAACCTGCTGGTAGTAGTGTCCCTGTGAAACCCACTGCTAGCAAGGATTAAGTATGATTTATGTGGTGCAATAACTTTGGACTAGCTCTCTTGGGGGCTAGAAATTAGATGAAAGATAAGGAAGGAACCCAGCCCTACAAGGCATTTAAACATATGCTGAGATGAACAGGGTCCAACACCTGCACCTGAGCACAGCTGATGATGGTCACAGAAGGGAAGGCACTGACATCACTACCCATGCTTTGCTCCAAAAATCACATTACAAAGCTCCCCTCTTGCAAGGGAGACAAGACACAGTTACCACAAACTGTTTTCCAAACTGGTAGAAAACCCACAGCTTTTTACCATTCTATTAACTCTGTTTAAAATCAGAGTAGCTGAGTTGCATTTTAAAAGAAATCTGTGAAAAATTTTGAGAAACTTTAACAGTATCTGAAGTACTTTCTAAACACACACAAGGGGGGAAAAAAAGATCACACAAGCCCACCTCCAATTCAGGCACTACAGATAATCACTTCACAGCAAGTAATTAACTATCTGTAGTGAAAAGGTTTCCAATCCTTCTAAATATCCAGAGAAAAACCAGGCCCAGCTGAACTCATGCCCAAAAGGTTACCAGTTTTTCTATTAAAAAGAGGCACATGTCTTAGTTTGTCAAACACCTGGTTCCCTACTTCCCACAACTCTTACTGGTCTTTCTGTTAGTACTAAAGAAAGTTTGGCTGTCAGGAAAAGGAGGCAGAAACAGTGGCCAGGCATTTCTGGTTTGAGTAAGAACATGAGGAACAAGAGCTGAAGACAGCAAGTCCAAAGCAACAGCAGCACTAGAGAAACAGCAATGCTGTTAGGAGAAAACTTACCTATGATCACAACAGGCAGTGGCTTGAACCCACTCCTATTTTGGGGTCTCTTCCATAATGCATACATCTTCCTGTCTGGAAGCATTTAGATCCTGGAGTCTACCTGTTAAAACAAATAAATACTGAATTATTTGCTTTTTTGACAAAACTCTTTACTTTCCAGAGCCTATAAACTCAGGTTGATCAAAAGTATTATCCTCACATTGCAGACCATCACATTACACTTCCACAGTCAGGACATGCCTGCTTATCTTTTTCCCCTTCTGCTGCCAAAACCAAAGGATGATTCCCTGATTATACCACCAAAAAAAAGGGAGAGGACCCTTATCTTTCTCTTCCACACACAAATTCCAGGCCCTCCAGAACAGCTGACAGCTTCAGTAACCCTCTGACTACAGTAACTGATGTGCTGCAGCTTGTTAAAGAACACTTTGCTTCTGCCTATATTGTGTAGAAAAATATTATTGCCATAACTATCATGAACCCATTCATAAATGCTTTATACTGTTTAAGTCAACTTGAGCACTTATTGATAAGTAGAGCAAACCTCACTCAAGACTTTTACCCAAAGACTGGAAATCTCTTGGTTGCATTTTCAAATATGTGCCACTCCATCACTAGTTTGTGGGTGGGGTTTTTTGTCTGTTTGTTTGGTTTGGGTTGTTGTGTTTTTTGGGGTTTTTTTTGAGAAATGCTAGTTTAGTTCCTGAACCTTCTTCCTGCAGGAATCCTACCATGTTAAATAAAGACTTATTTAGTTTTCCAGGGAATTCAACTTTACTGTCACTAATCTAGAGAAGTTAAAAAGTTATTTTTTACCACAGTAAAAGTGACATTTACAAAATCCACTAGAAGCTTTTAAGTTATTCTACAGAGAACAGTCTTTTCTAAAAACATCAGTCTCATTTTGGAAAGCTAAGTAAAAATTCACTGAATGACTTTGTTCACTGGGGCATGCTCTCCACACCCTTTTCAAGTGCAGAAAGAGCTTTGGCAAGCACACTGCACACTTCCATAAGGTCTGGCACATCACTGCCTTTGACACAGGTATTGCAGCAAATGTCACCCTACAAGCGTAATGCTCCACTTTAAGCCTGACATTTACATCACCAGTGACTACAGTAACGCAGTAAGACCCCGGTGATTGAATGAGCAGCCAGGAAACCAAAGGTGAATTTAGGATTTGCAGAACCCCAGGCTTCAAGAGAAGTCTTGTAAGTGCATTTGCCTGTGACAATTCTCATACAACCATTGCTGGGCTAGCCAGAGCTATTCCTAGAGGACTGAGTTCATGCAAGTAGAGGCACAGAAGGTTTACAAATTGAATTGAAAACTTGCAACCTTGTCCAAATTTTTGGATCACTGTTTAGTAACACTGACTGGTTGCCCATTACCACTTAACATGAGTCTGAGAGACTCATGCATTTTGCCTGACAGGGCAAGAACCACTTAGAAGACATAATAGTCATGCTTTCTAATTTAAGCCATTTCAATCATCTAGCTTTGAAGAGAGCTGGATTTCAAGGAAAATTAGGTTCCCCATTTAATTGAGACTTGAAGGTGGATGCAGACACTAGAGAAGAACAATTCTTTGTGTTGTATCCATACCAAGGCACACATCAACCCCTCAAGGTGTATTTAACCCAACCCTGGAAGCTGCAGGAGCACAGCCTAACTGCCCAAGTATTTCCCCAGCCTTTTGGGTAGGTTCTGCCACATGAACCAAAACCTGCAACATCTTCAGAAGATTGTTGTGTAAATTTGCCCCCAAATAACACCCTACCACAAGGCTCCAGAGTTGCAATTGGTAGAATTTGGCAGCAGCACCTGGAATGGCCAGAGACACCAAAGGAACAGCACACTGGTGTAACCAGTAAGGTATTCCCCTCAAACCAGCTAAACCACAGTACTTGTCTGAAGGTCAGCAGAGATTTCTTCTCCATGGTAACAAATAAATCCCTCTCCATGGCTGTACTACACAAGAAGACAAGTTCTTACTAATTTTTCCTAACAGAGTGCGCATCTTGTTTCTGTGAAACTATTGGGAGTCTGGAAGAGGGAAGCAAGATCTCTGGAAGCAATCTTCCAAGTTTCTGCTCCATAGCACTCTGCAGCAGCACGCACAGAAAGGCTTTATGCACTCTGTAGACAGTGGTAACCCAGCAACATCCATGGGATTTTTGCTGGAAGCAAGGGCTGCTGAAACAACCCAGTACAGCACACAGCAACAGTTCCAGGAGAGCAGCAAGGCCAGCATATAAATAACGAGCCTGCAAGCCCGTTTGTAAGACTTGGGCACAAAGTCATGGCATTGTGTGCCAGAATTTTTCTGAGGGAGCAAAATGGGGACATAAAAAGGCACAAGATAGTAGAAGTCAGCCTGGCAGTCATGTTTGCTTCAGAGGAAGGTTGCCTTGGCTCCTGGCCATTGCACTGTGCCACCCTACCCCACCCTGATAGAGAGCAAAGTCATCACGAGTGATAACGCTCTCCTCATTTCACTCTCCTCCTCCATTCTGTACCTTCTGACACAAGAAAAAGGAGCATTTTCTGGAATTAAACCAAACCCTAATGGCTAGAGGAGCACAATGGTTATTCTGATGAAATTACTAGATCCATGCACATACATGACCATTTTTAGCCATGGCTTTATTCAGGATCTGGGTTCACAAAACCCCACAATGGCCATTTTAGTGCTACATGCTTTGTTTCCTGAAGTTCTGACAGTGGCCACTTCTATCGACACAAGATTAACCATCAGAGATGCTTCTCTTTATCTTTGCATATCTCTACAAATGGGAGAAGTTCTATCTAGTTGCTATCTCTATAATGAATAGTTAATAATTCTTCTTTTTAAGTAGAAAGTGAACCAGATGCTGAACCTGTTTATAGCTATTCCTATGCTGTAAGCTAAGTATTTGACTTCTGGGGGTAAAACTGAGCTCAGAGCATCTCAGCCATTTCAAGTTTCAGGCCAAATGTTTACTTTTCCTGCCATTAGAAGTAAAGGTGGATTATTTTAATTCCCCCCCCCCCCAATCTTAAAATCAAGGGACCACATATCCCTCAAAAACCTGTACAGCTAATAAAGTGCAGCAAATGAAAGCCTGTTCTTGCAGAGGCTACTGGAAAGCATAGAGGACACAGAAGATCATTTCAAATCTATACAGAATTAGTTCACAGCAAGAGAAAGCCCAAGCTAGCAAGAAACCCAAGACTGTTCTTCTCACCCTCCTCTTATGCAGAGTAGGCTGCTGGGCACTTACACCTAGTCAACTTAGTGACACTGATCCCTGTTCTGGCTCCTGCCTTAGGCTTCCTACTTTAAATGGGTGTCTCTTTCTTCCTCCTTCTTTGGGAGCATGCTGCAAGCTCCACAATTTATCTTCTCACTGCTTCCAAAGCATTTCAGTGTCTATGTGACGTTACATAATTGTTCTGGCTTAGAAAAGCACTCGGTTCATTCTGGGCCAAACTCTGCATACCTTCCTGACACAGACCTAAGCCTAGAGGGACTATAACTCACACAAAGTCAGTCAGTGTGGCCCCCAGTAGTTCCAGTCTGCACAACTGAAACAGGTTTTAAGTGAGTAAAATAAAAAGCAAAGATGCATCTAGCAAGACAATGACATTAAATGATCTTTAGCAGAAATAAAAAGTTACATCAGCCACATGCAAGTAGTTCTCCCTATAACATCAATGAGACTTTTGCTTAAGTAAGGACCACAAAGTGTGGCCTGTACAGCACAGGGAGAGAATTCAAGAGAGAAGTGCAGTCAGTAGAAATAAATAATGGAAGAGACTGAAAGAGCGACCATTGCACTCAGGTTTAAACAAGAACAATGCTAATAACACAAATGCAACACTTTTCAGCTCCTTTTCTTCATCAATTCATTCATTTCACCAGCAGTTTTTAAAATTTAATTCATTAATGCTTTAAAAAAAAACCCCCAGAAATCTCAATAGCTTTTATATTTTATACTTGCCTACAAATTTCAGAAGTTCCGCCCCCCCTACTTGTACTATCACTCTTACATGCCAGTCCAGTTACTCCACAAACAGAATTAGAGTATGTGTAAAAAAAAAGTCACCTTTATGGTACATTAAAATAATACCTTTCTAAAAACACCCCTGTGATATTCAGAAAGCAATGTTACACTATGCCATTTACTTAGAGCCTTCTTACCTTCAGCAGCAGGTCCAATGAGAAGTGAGATCTTTATGAAAATGCCTGTACAATCAGGAAAGCCAACCAAACTACAAGCCTTGAATCCTGCCTCTGCTCTAAGACAGCTGTTTAAATATAGTAGGCTACCAGCGCTAAGAGAGGAGAGGAGGAGCTGAAATCAATGGAGGTGGAGCAAGGAAAATACTTATAAGCATGAGTCAGTAGGAATATTTCCCTTCCCAGCTTGTGAATGAATGAGGTAGTGATCCTCCTTAGTAATGTTCAGCTGACTACATGACTACAGCAAAAGCAGGCTTATAGGAGCCATGCATGGCAGAAGCCCTGCTTTGTACAAATAGCTTCATTTTTAACCCTCAAGGCAAATTAAAACCTGAGACTTCATAAAATGCAATGCTTCCTGTGGCAGAAATGGGTTTTTCCTCTGTATTTAAAAGAAAAACTGCTAGTTATAATTACAGGTGGGAACAAAAGCGATAGGATAGCACTATATATCTGCTTTAAAACTAGCCATCTTCTCAGTCACAACAGGACAAGAAAACATCATTACTTTCTTCCTACTTTGTACAGTTTGTTGTTTTAGTTTCACCTTATTATTATAATGGTATAATAATATATATTGGTATATATAATATATATAATGGTATAATAATATATATTCAGACCCAGATATACTGGGTCTGAAAATAAACTTCAGTTTATATTTTTTCTTCAGTGAGATAAAGTCTCACAAACCTGTCGCACAGTGGCAGTAAAATGAGTCAGAGTGCTTCCTGTACAACTTACAACATGCCAGGACTGTCATCCAAGGTGTCTTACTCAACTCAGCAGAATAATTGATCCAGCTTGCTAAATTTAAAGTGCCCTTAACAAATGAAATAAATTTGTGCCAAAGTGTTCAGTTCAAGTAGTAAGTGC